CTTTAGGCTGGAGTACGGGAGCAGGTACCTATGGTGTACGGGGCTGTGGTCTGGCATACGTACCTGTGGAGCAAAGGTGAATTTAAAATTAATTCACTGGAGTGATTGACCCTTCATTTGTTGTACCGTGATGATTGGGAAGGTCTCTTGATACGAGAAATTGGAGATATCCTCCTCTTCCTCTGATCAAACTTGCTTATCTCCTACTTCCCAAGCACTGGATGACCCTTTTGAACTGAGGGCTGTCCTGTTTAAATACTACTACTACTAGTACTACTACTGCTACTACTAGTAGTAGTAGCAGCAGTACCAGCAGTAGTGGCAGTACTAGTAGCAATAGTAATAGCAGTAGTACCGGCAGTAGCCGTAGTAGTAGAAGTAGCCTTAGAAGTAGTAGTATTAGTAGCAGTAGCCGTGGTAGTAGTAGTAGTAGAAGTAGTAGTAGTAGTAGTGGTAGTGGCAGTAGCCGTAGTAGTAATAGTAGTATTAGCAGAAGTTGTAGTAGCCCAGTAGCTCAGTGATGAAGCGCTGGAACTTTTACAACCTAAGCCAAGGTTATTTTCGATAACTTTTCTAATCACCTAATTCTGTTGAGAAATTTTAAGCGTCATGTGATCTACTTTGAAATAATAATAATAATAATAATAATAATAATAATAATAATAATAATAATAATAATAATAATAAATGATCGGGATTCGAACTCGTGGTCTGGAATTACCAATCAGTCGTCCAAAATTAATCTACATAAAAAAAAAAGTTTTTTAGCTGCTTTATATAGCAGTCGCTAATAAAGCCTGGAATATAAAATGAAAATTAGAATAGGAAAATATTGATGACTGCTAGAATAAAAAGAAACAGGATGAGGATAGAGCATTATTATTGTTATTATCGTTATTATTTTTGTCATTATTATTATTATTATTATTATTATTATTATTATCCCCTCCTTTGTGCTGATTATATGTGAATTATTCCAGCCATAAAGTTGTGATTATTTTTCATTATTATTTTAATTATTTAGAAGCGTCTTAAGCTCATAAGGGCCATTCATCATCTGGGAGAACAGGAGAGAATCAGCTTTCTTCCAAGGACAGAGAGCGGTAGCTCAATTTCCCTGGCTCAAGAGCCTTTCACCAATCTCCAGGTGGAGCCCCCTCCCTTCGAGGGGGTTGTTATTAACGCTATGACGTGAAAAATATTATTAGAAAGATGTTTGAGATATTATTATATTTTATTTGGTAATATTAGGTATTATTATTATTATTATTATTATTATTATTATTATTATTATTATTATTATTATTATTTTATAATTTTTTACCTTCCCCCCCCACCATTCCTTACCATTTCCACCAATATTCCTTGCGATTCCCATCACCATTCCTATTTTCACCACCGTGCCTTATCACTCCCATCATTGTTTTCCATCATTCTTACCACTATTCTAAATTTCTCACCATCATTCCCTAACATTCTTTGTTATTAATACCATCATTCTGTACTCTCATGTTTACAAGGCAAAAGGAACTAGGTTGTGATGTGTCATGCAAAGGGTAGGGATGAGGTACTGTTATGGTAATGGTTAGGTGGTACTGGGGAAGTTATGGGGTGGTACTGGGGGTGGTGGGGCTAAATGGTTTTTGGGTGAAACTGGCGAGGTAGCTTAGCGTAACTGGAGGGGTGAATGAGGCCGTACGCCAGACGGACTGCTCAACGTAGAAGGACCTTGGGAACTAGGTGTTGCGGCGTCAGCGGTGGCTAGCGACGCATACGCAAGAGGTAAAAGTGGGTAGCCAACTCCTGGGGAGAAACTCCTGCTAACCTCATTAACCGCTGCCAACTTAAGGAAAACACATAGAAATAAACTATCACGTTTTCTGTTACGAATACACGTATGATCGAGACTTTTCCTCACCAAGCGCTGAATGACCCACACTGGTTTAACGATTTACACTAACAAAAGTAAATAGTGCAATAGAAAATTATTCAAAAAAAAAAAAGTTTTTGAATTACACGTGCCCCAGTTCTGAAGAGCTGGATGATATTTTCGCATTAAAATCAGTGACAAACACGTAACAGTATGTACTAGACATGTATCTCTCACATCTCTTGTACTGTATATGCCATCTTTATATCAACAATGCATCCCTTAAACCTTTTGTACCATATTATGCAATAAAATATACCTATTGGTAAAAAAGATTGAAAAGATGGGGTGGAATATTCAAACGGCTTCAGGAAGAAATACAAACATTCTTCCATGAAGCCTTTTCTGAGGCTATGAGTACCACAATTTACACCAGAGGTGGACCCCATCTATATATATATATATATATATATATATTATATATATATATATATATATATATATATATATATATATACGTATATATATATATATATATATATATATATATATATATATGTGTGTGTGTGTGTGTGTGTGTGTGTGTGTGTGTGGTGTGTGTGTGTGTGGTGTGTGTGTGTGTGTGTGTGTGTGTGTGTGTGTGTGTGTGTGTTTGTGTGTGTGTGTGTTTGTGTGTGTGTGTGTGTGAGTGTGTGAGTGTGTGTCAGCATTATTAATCTCGTATTTAATGTGACAGACCAAATTGCCAGTCAAGAGACGAGACTCGTAAGCACTCTTAAGATTGCACTCAGTGATCCTCTGATCCTACGATAATGATAATGGATAAACTCAAAGGGTTTTTATAGTAAGCTCTCTTATGAAGCTCCTCTGTATAGTTTTAATTTTGTAAATCTAGCTCAGAAAGTGCATCTAAAATTCAGTTGCACTGCTATGAAGACCTTTCCACGCGGTATTTACTTTTAAATGTACTTTTTCAGTCGTATTTACGAAAAAACATCGGTCTATACGGAGGAGCTTTGTAAATGCTGACTTCTTTATATCCCGTGGGGTCGAGAACTTTGGCCTATTGTGCTTAATGCTGTACATTTTATTGGTCGAGATCTGTTGCCCATGTTGAAATCTTTGCATCCCCCCCTGGGTTTAGAGCTGTAGTCCATGGTGCTTAATTCAATGCATCGCCGGGGTCGAATGCTCTGGCCGGTCTCGCGGTAAGGATTCACATCTCTTGCTGGAAATTATTGAAATCAGCCAATTACAAGTCCGTGCGAGTAAAGTCATTATCGTTGTGATTGGACTGTGGCTGCTGCGGGCTACTTAAGGAGATGTGTTGATATGCGATACCACCAGCAACCAGCTGTAGTTACTTGTGTAGGATACAAGGGAGGGTGAAGCCTGACCAGTCGGCGATATAGTGGAGATCGTTCATTAAACAGAGAAATAGCAGGTGGATAGTGACCTGTACTTTTCTTTAAACTTCGTGAGATGACTCAAATTTGCGCTTTGTCATCAAACTAATGACAAAATTCGATGTACGTATGTTATATGTGACTGTGTGTTTGTGATTGGTAAGCCTCAGTGCAATGGAGATGTTTACATGCTGCTTGAATAAGGAGACGTATTATTATGAATTTTTTTTAGATATCGAGTCAGTGTGGACTAGAAGACATGGGTAGAACGTTGCGCTTGACAGAGAAGTAGCAAGTGGTTTTACGCTGGTGGTGTCTTCGTCAAGTTATTAGGGAATTAGGTTCTTCGTATTTATTGTTGAGACAAAATGTGCATACACATATACGTGAAATTTACCAGCGTTCAACCGAGGGTCATATGAATGCGCTTCACCTGAATACTAGACACGTTATACATTCATGAAGTGTCCTACTAATTTGTATGTCATGGGATACCATGTTATAAAAGGGAATATTGCACATCCCTAATTTACATTAGCGTTCGAAAGCTCTCCATCTCTCCATCTTCTGTTACACCTTCCTTCTTCACCTCTTCTTTCTCTGCCACCTTTGCTGTGACTTGTTATTTTTGCTCCTGTTACTGCCATTTGCACACGCATATATATATATAGATATTTATCCCATTAAGAACAAAAAGGCACTATACCGTGATTGAAACAATACACGAGTGACCCGCGCATAGGACCGAAACGTCATCGTAAGCTCCCCTTCCCAATGTGTAGTTTATTTGTGACTGTATCTCATTTTTGTACATACATATATATATATATTATATATATATATATATATATATATATATATATATATATATATATATACACACACACACGTGCGTTACCAGTAATCAAAGGAACGAGGAGATAGAAATTGCTTTTGTGAACTCACACATTTGTGGCTGCAGGTGTCGAGTCATAGCCCCTGGTCCCGCCTCTTCACTGATCGCTACTAGGTCCTCTCTCTCCCTGCTCCATGAGCTATATCAAACCTCGTCTTAAAACTACGTATGGTTCCTGCTTCCACTACGTCACTAGCCAGATTATTCAACTTTCTGACAACTCTATGACTAAAGAAATATTTCTTAAAATCCCTTTCACTTATGCGAGTCTTTAACTTCCAGTTCTGTGTCCCATCTATGGAACATCCTGAGTGTGTGAGTGTGAGTGTGTGTGTGTGTGTGTGTGTGTGTGTGTGTGTGTGTGTGTGTGTGTGTGTGCGTGTACTCACCTAGTTGTACTCACCTAGTTGAGGTTGCAGGGGTCGAGTCCAAGCTCCTGGCCCCGCCTCTTCACTGGTCGCTACTAGCTCACTCTCCCTGAACCATGAGCTTTATCGTACCTCTCCTTAAAGCTATGTATGGATCCTGCCTCCACTACATCGCTTCCCAAATTATTCCACTTCCTGACTACTCTGTGGCTGAAGAAATTCTTCCTAACATCCCTTTGATTCATCTGTGTCTTCAGCTTCCAACTGTGTCCCCGTGTTGCTGTGTCCAGTCTCTGGAACATCCTGTCTTTGTCCACCTTGTCAATTCTTCTCAGTATTTTGTAAGTCGTTATCATGTCCCCCCTATCTCTCCTGTCCTCCAGTGTCGTCAGGTTGATTTCCCTTAACCTCTCCTCATAGGACATACCTCTTAACTCTGGGACTAGTCTTGTTGCAAACCTTTGCACTTTCTCTAGTTTCTTTACATGCTTGGCTAGGTGTGGGTTCCAAACTGGTGCCGCATA